ATTTCGTCTTTTTAAATTTTTTTTGGCGAAAGTCGAAACTAGGTTTCGCCTTTCGCCAGTGGCGAAACTCCTAGGTTCGCCTAACAACTGTACTTCTGTGATCAAATTTTAGGCGATTTGAGGATATAAAACTCGGATCATATATTCAAATAAAATGATACAATAATGCAGGTAAAGCGGTGTTTTGTATATAACATGATAAAAATTTGAAATTTGATTTACTGAAATTACATTATTGTAAGATTGTAACTTTTGTAACACAACCCTACTGTTAGTAAAGTTTTAAATAACTTTTGGCCTAAATTTTTGATCGTCGCTCTTAGTCAATCAAAATTAAGAATCTACCGTGACAATTTTAGTTCGGCAGCTAGGTCCAATATCGGACGCTTTACTCCGAATCCATTATTGATGTTTGCATGTTACGTTACACTAGTAATTCAAGGTTTCATTTGTATTACGTAATTTGGTAAAATAATAAATTTACTATAAATATACCAGGTACGTACGTACGCACAGTACGTGTACATACGTCCATAGCATCACTTTAATTTACATGCAAGGTCAAAATAATTCTTACATTTTTAATAATGAAATGTGAAAAGTGTCAAATTGATAAGCTTTCAGAAGAATTTCCACATGGTACAATTAGTTCCACTTGTGAACATGTCGCATCTTGGTGCTTAAAAGTATGATATATTTAATAATATATATATGTGCTATTTATATTACTTAATTTGTCTTTTTATTAGTGTCTCGTAAACTACTTGAGAGAAATGTTGCATCAATGTCCTATATGCAAAGCTGGATTAACTGAACAAGAATTTAATGAATATTGCTTGCTTTGGGACAATGCTATCTTTAAAATTGATTTTAAAAATCCCTCACAAATAAAACAAACAAATACCGAACCTTCTGATCAAAACAATACAAACTCCGAAATATTTTACGTTGCTCAATTAACTGGAGAAAAATTTGAATTAAAGATTTCCGAAATTAAAACGGTTAAAGAGTTAAAATATAGATTAATGAATTATACCAAGATAGAGACTGATAATCAAATGTTAATTTATAAAAACATTGAACTCGATGTGCGTACTTTATTAATTTATTTTTTATCATATTCTTTATAATTTTTATCTTAATTATTTTATTCGTTATTTTTCTATATAGGAAGAAATTAATAATACACTCTCAAGTTATGGAATCTGTGCAAATAGCCATATTCAGCTTCTTTTTTAAAACCAGAAAATTGGCAACTTTAATACTACTTGCAATTAACTATAAAGTAACTATGTAGTTACATGGTAGTAGCAATTTGCTTCAGAATTACTATACACCTACTACTATTGTTTTATTAAAATTTTATAATTTTTAAGTTATAATATAGTTTTTATATAATTTCTTTAAAGTTACTATATAATAACAATACGCCTACTATTTAATTTCGCAAGTTTCAGTAAAGTTATTGTCGAACTTTTCTATCAAAAAAGTTTGCTTTAAAAAATTTAGTACTCGATTTATATTGGGGTTACCCCGCTTTGGGAATCGATTATCTCGGCGACTCCTGTTTAATACATAAAGATGATAAATTATGGATAAATTATAGAAAAAATATTACTTTGAAAATAAGATGTATCATATATCTTGCACTTCGGAAATATCTTAGATAATAAAAATGGTTTGTCTTAATATTTACACACCATTGTATATTACATTTTTATATTTGATAATTTTAAATCATTTTCACAGCTGCAGGACATCAACTTCCTCTTAGTGTTACGTAATATTAAGCCCATTTGGTTCTCGAACAATTGAACATTTCCAGAATCCAAGCTTTAAATTATATGATGAAGAGAGGCATGCTGATAAGTCACAAGCTGTTATGTGCCTTATCAATTGATCAAAATATGGTGAGCTTTTAATTTTTTTATTTTTTTATTTTTTTAGGGTTTTATTTTTAACAAAATATTTCGTTTCGGATTATAAGTAAATAGAAAGTAATTGGAGTAGGTAGATCATTTCAAGGAAACATCCCGGACTATGATCCAATAGTGGAAAATGAGTTGACTAGAGAAGGACGAGTTCACTTTCTGTTATGAAATAATGCACTTTTAAAGCTGTCTATTTTATCTATTACACCACAATCTTACGTTAGTAGATAAAATTATATATATAGTAGTCAGTTAAGTTATTGAAGAATAAATTCAGAATATTTTTATTATGTGTTTTTATTCATTTGGTTGGTACGTGATTTATTTTCGTTGATCGCAATAATTCTGTAATTATAGCCTAAGTCTACTAGGAATCTGAAAGAATTTGCAAACAACCATTTCTGTAATGTATTCCATAGTAGACCAAAAATTTTTTTGTCAATCAATTTCCACGCCGAAATTTACCCCATATTAGAAAATCATTCTTGATCTCCAGAGCAACTTAGGCCATTTCTACTGCATATGAATATATTCTTAATGAGATTTATTATAAAAATTTTAAATTGATTTGTCTTCGGAAGTACCCAATTAACAGGATATATAGTTAATATCGTGATCTGCGTGATCACGATATGGGGTATTTGCCTTGAAAATGACCTTACGGTATCATGTACCGTAAGGTCATTTTCAAGGCAAAGACCCCATATTATTATTACTAGAGTTGCAGACATTAAAATATCAATTAACATACACTATGACGTATATAGTGACGTATATAGTGACGTATTGACGTGACGTATTGCATTATATATAAATCTTATATGACGTAAAAGGATGACTGAAAAGGTCACTACCTTTGACCTTCTAAATGTCTGCAACTATAATTATTACACATGACAAATAACGGAAAGTGTCTGGCTCAGATGCGACAGTTATTGGTGCGTAGCCATCAGATTACGACGATCTGGAGAGTGTAGAAAAAAAATTTTAATTAAAAATACATAACGATAAATAAAAAGATAGATGTATAAAAGTCGGATCATTTAAACAAGCAATACTGTAAAAGTTTTTATTACAAAACATTAAATGAACTTCACTAAGTTGTTTCGACTTATCTAATCGTAAAAAACTGCTTCGTCCTATCTAGAGGATTTTAAAATGTGATTAAAAAGAAAATGGCTAATTTCGAAAACGGAAAATGAAATGGGAGCGTTTAGAAACTCCCATTTAACGAAATAAATAAATTTTCAACGACAAAAATCGTTATTACAAATTTATCTGAAAATGAAATAAGGTCGATACATTGCTTATTTGAAATATTATTTAAAAAGTACATACGCAATGTATATTATATAGGTATGCACCGTGAAATAAAGCGTACATACATCCCAATAGAATGAAATAAGCTACATACGTACGTACGTACATATCAAATTTTGCCTAATAACCAAAATAAACTATCAATTTCTGCCGAATAATCAAAATAAACTAACAATTTCTGTCAAATAACCAAAATAAACTTTTTTTTGCAAAATGACCCAAGTTATTTATAAGCCCGATCATAGTAATCTGACGGATAAAAAAGTATATGTGGATTTTAGTAGAAATTATAGATTTAAATGGGGATCCTGGATCTCAGCATAAGCCGCCACAATAATCATTGCATTATTTAACTAACAATTGTTGTAACTCGCAATACATAATTCCAATAAAAAAATTTCGATGTATTGCTAATAATATTTTTCCGAAGCGGTTGACCGGAATCTTAACAATCAATTTAACGATATATTTATGAATATTTCATATGAATTGTAAATTCCACTTTCCAAGGATGTCAATTATCCTTTAGTGTCACCCTCTTATCACATCTAAATACTTACGTAACTGCTACTTCATTTCTATCTTTTAAATTATTATCAAATTCGATTCATCAGCCAATAGTTCAACTTTTTTTGAAGGACGAACAACTCTGTTAACTTTCATATATCCAATTTTTACAATGTTGCACTTCTTGCATTCTGGTTTGAATGACCCAAAAATGACTTCATTAAGATTTACATTAATTGAACCATGCTCGCAATTTGTAGAACAATCATTAAGTTGGTTCACCAATATTATTTGATTTTCATAGACTTTGCTTTGTTCGTAGGAGCTCGCCAAAAAGGAGGATAAAATATTTTTTCCATTTCCGGGGAAAATATTCTTATCACACGGATCCTCACATCCATAAAACATATTTGGTTGTTGATTACTCTGACGCCATTTAACAGCTGTTTGACCAAATTCGAAAGTTTTGTGAGAATTGTTTACATCAACAGTGCTGTTAAAAAATAATTAGTATCGTTATTTGAAAATATTTTGGGCTAAATTTAAATAATAACTTACCAAAAATATAAAGATAAATTTCGTAAAATATTTTCATCTAAATTCATTTCACCATTAGCAAACAAACAAACAGAACGGATAGAGGTTGAAACATGTGATCCAATAATTATTTGTCCTGAATTTTCATTTATTGAAGCTATTTTTAATACACAAGTGCTTAATATACAAGTTTCTTTAAGTTTTTGTTCATGAAGTTTTGGAATTTGATCAAAGGGAATTCGTATACGATCATTTTCAATTTTAAAATTTGTGAGTTCATAACTTCTAAGAATTACTGGATAAGGAGATTCTGTCAAATCAAAATCAAAATTCTTTGGTTGGCCAACAATAATCCAACCAAGTCTAAAAGAAAATGTAGATTTTTTTCGTCTTAATAAAAAATTCTTTTTATCTTTATGTTGGATTAGATGAACAACGATTATGGGGGTATATTCATCTTCATATTCAACACGCAAAGATAATGCAGTTCTGTCGTTCTCATTCATTATTGATGCAAAAATGTGGCATTTGTAGATGTCTTCTATTTTTGTTAGTTTTGTTTCCAATGGATATGTAAATGGTGTTGCAAAATCATGTTTAATGATGTCACTAACGCCTGCTGACATTATCCGTTGACCCAAAATATCTAAAATTTCTTTCCGTAATTTGGGGTAGTCATTATCCAAAAGATCAAAAATCAAATGAATTTCATCATATGCAATTATATCCCATTTAGCGTAATCACTAGACTTTTACTTTTCGAAAATTTATTAACACGACGGTTCATAATATTATTCTCAGTTCTAACAGTAGTACTTAAACTTCAATTCCGCCTGTAACTTCAGTTGCATTTACGTTTAAATTTTCACCTGATGGTAATAAAAGTTGCTTTTAAATAATAAATCTCTGATTTATCGATAGGTGATGATATACTTACTTGAACTATTCTCAAAAGTTATTTCATTGATTTCAGCTTTACCCAAAACAAGGTGACGTGAATAAAAGCTACCATATATTTTTGTTAATTCCCGAAGTGCATTTAATTTATCATCATTTGTACCCTTACTTAATGCGGTTCTTACATCTCTAATAAATGCATCAGTTGGTTTAATTTTTAGTTTAGGAATTATGACTTCTGCCCTTTTCGACCTCTTGCATGAGTATTTGACAGTTGTTTCGAGACTTACAAGCTTTTGCTCAACTGTTTTATGTGATACCCCTAGAAAAATAGAAAGCCAAGACAAGCCAGCTTTAAACTTTCCATCTAATATTAAATTTGTGCTGCAAAAAATCTCCAATTCATTTCTACATTCTGTTTCGGTTGTATAAGTATGTTCTTTTAAATTAATTTTATAGTCATTACGATCAACCTCAAATGCAGTGAAATCGGCTTCTTTAAATTCATCACCATTGAATCTAAATCCTCCTTTACATTTACTAAGTAATAGTGCCCTTTTATCCTCAGGTGGCTTATTTCCAAAAAAATTTCCATATATGCCTTGAACATTCAACGGTAACGTTAGCATATTTAATTTTAAATTTAGTGCTATCTCTATTTTTAATTTGGTTGAATTTAACACATTGCTTGTTATACAGGTTGTACACTAAGATTTCCAGATTTAGGAATACGGAGGTACAAATGGTGTACAGTACGTATTAGTATAAATTTCACACACTTTATATCGAACAGTACTCGATGCTACTTGAATAATCAATTCATAAAATCATGTCAAGCCAAATTTTAAATTATGGTCTGTTAATTAACAAACGAGGAATACAACTTGCAGATTTGCCAATATGCAAAGTTGAAATACAACCTAAAACCATAGAAAAATCTCGAATAAAGTTGATGTTTTCTACAAAGCATGTAGATTCGTTTTTATTGAACAATCATATTGATCCTTCAGCAATCAATTTTGAATATGATAAATGGATTTTCGATACTGTTTTCAATGAAAATTTTTTACCAGAAAATTTGCCAGTTTACATGGAAATTTTATGCTCACAAGCAGAGTTGATTTTCGAAAATCAAAAAATTAAACCATCCAATGAGTTAAATAATACAATGGAACGGGCTCTGAATCATAAATATCCATATCAAGAAATAATGAAAGTATTTAAAGACTATGGATATTTTTTGCCTAAAAAGATCATTCTTGGTCATAAATTATGTAAAATGACTTATTTGGCCGCAAGAGCAGAACCACGTTTTCTTAAATCAGAAGTGACGGATTTTAATGACTTTGCAACACTTCAGCGTAACAGCGTTTTGAATAAATGGGAAGATCTTCTAAAATTACACAATTTCGATACTTCCTTTTTAACATCAATTAATGGTGAGGACGTTACAATAGACAAACTACAAGAATGGGTGGTATCTTGCTTAAAAGATGATCTTAATTCATTACAAATCATCAGTTGGGAAAAATTATGTCCATTATATGAAATATTTGATGAACCGCTTAAACAAAAAATAAAGCTTATACTAGGATCTGATGATATGTACTACACAAACCCTATGAATTTACAACAGGTGAAGGAAACGAAAGAACTTGGGGACACAAACCCTGTGGAGTTACAACAGGTGAAGGAGGCGAAAGAACTTGGGGTCAAAGAAAGAGTGCTTATTGCAGGAGTAATTCCAATCAATGGCTTAACTTACCTATATCGTGAAAAATATTCTGATCATCTGAATTCCAGTAATTATAAAATTTTTGGAAAACTTATAACTCAAGATGGTGAACAAATCAGTGCGACAATTAAGTTTCAATCTATGAATAGATTTGGGTTCACCGTAATAATTGAAAATTTCGATTTAGCAGAGTAAGCTTTGTTTTCATCAATTGAATTTTTTGAACGCACTTATATGATATCTTATCTATTTCATGTTTTTGGCAGGTCTGAGAATTTGAAAATAATTTGGATATTGATTGGGTTACCCTCTGAGATCGGATTTTATAGTCTAAATACACGAAACATTCATATATTGGCATTGGGTAGTTACTCATTTGCAAATGACAAAATTTTGTCATTGCAGGTTCCTAAAAATCTGCCGACAAGCTCAATTATATGTACAAATCTTACTTCACTGTCATCAGATAAAACGAATTTAACAATTAATATTCAAGACTATCGTGATGATGAACTTAAATCTTCAAATGCTTTATCGTATTCGCCCATAATAAAATATATTTTTCCTCGGTAGAATAATTCAAATACATTACTTAGCTCTTTTCTAATGATTTTGTTAATTCATTGATTAAATTAACAAGCATATTTTCATATCCACCCATAATAAAATAATGCTTT